TTATTTTTCTTATCCGTCTTGTACAAACGAATAATTTTTTTATAATTTGTTTTGAAAAATCTATAGTAAGATAAAAAAATAAAATTAAAAAATCTGCTATTTTTTAATATTTTTTGTCTTTTTTGATTTTTTTTAATTTTTTTTATTGGTCTCATCCAATAAAATTAGGAAGCTCACATTTTTTAAAAAATGAAAATGGGAGATTGGCCCCAAAAAAAAAAAAATTTTTTCCTTGCCCCCACGTGTACGTAGGAATGGTGGGAGTCTACCTAACCGGAGGTCTGCAGTATTATTGTTTAAAAAAATTACTAAAAACAACAATAAATCAACAAAAAAAAGTGAGTGATAGTTTGGGGGCACGTGGACGAGCCACATGACATGAAATATTTGGCAAATTTTTGGAAGAAAAACCAAAGGACAAAAATTAAAAGTGGTGCGTCAATTCATTTTTTTTATCTCACTTTCACTTCACTCCACTCCTAGTCACTTCACTCTTACGCCCTACGCTTTTTCTACTTTGATGAAAACTAGCCACGTCTGCACAGTATTGAAGATATACGCAAGTGATGTGAATTATTATATTAATATTATATTTGTTTTATTTTCTGATTTTTTTTAATATTGGGCCCTCTGGGAGAAGTGGATTATAATTTACTCTTCAAATTATAATTCACTTCATCTCTCACAAAAAAATTGTTTATAAGTAGTTTTTAATCAAAAAATTAATTATAACCATCTTTCTAAAATAGTCTATTTTGTTGATTAAGAAATTGAAACAATTGTATACCATGATCCTTTTTTTTTTTTATTTGATTTAATGTAAATGAGGAATTCACAATAGTTTAATAAATTTATGTGGAATTACATATCAAGAATAAATGAACATAGAGGGTGAAAATTATTTTATACATGCCTCTCCTCTTAACTTTTATTGTAAAATTTGTAATATTAATTACTTATTTTTTGATAATCAAAAAATGTTTAAATATAATATTTTAGCCAATATAAGGATGAGTTCAATTATATTAATTTTTCCTATCACAACAAAGATATGACTTACATATTATATTTTTATAATTATTTTCACTTTTTTTTTTATTAATTTGTAATTTTTTGGGGGCGGTTTTAAATAAAAAAATATCTTTATTGTGCTGCAGAAGAGACAGTTATCGAGTCACATCACACTTTATGCAAATCTTTAAAATCCCATTCATTGGTTCAACACTGCAGCAAAGGAAGATTCTCCCTTTGGTATGTTTCGCAATTGATTGGTTAATTCCCCGACATAGCCTTTGCAGAGTTGCCAATAATGTGTTGCCACACGGAGGAAATGCTGTGGTTTGGTGCTCTGATTGATAACTTTACTTTTCATGACATTGAAAGGGTCAATCTCGTGAGAAATTATTCTTTATCTCAGAATTTATATTTAAGTCAATTACGCCTTATTTGATTCACAAAATTAATAATAAATATATTAATAATTTTATTAAATTAGTATGGTATTCATTATGAGAAAAGTTAAGGATGATAAAAAAAATTTCATGAAAATGATCATGAAAGATTTATGATCCTTACATTATCTTGATTAGTGTGTAGTGTTTTATTCTAAGTGTAATTCAAGAGTTACAAAACTTTCATGATTATTTTCATGAAAAGTTTTTCATGATACCTAACATTGTTGATTCATTATTCAATTAGATTAGTAGGATAAATTATTCCCTTATCTATTGTTTGATTTGCATTGAATAAGAAAACAAATGAAAGTAAAAAAATCTTTTTTCCCAACTCACGATATAATCTCACCCTTACTCATTGCTAATAATCCTACAAATTTGTTGGATTAATTATCCATTGAAATTTGTTGGATTAATTATTCATTGAATTAATAATCTTAAAATAAAATGTCAAAATAAATATAAAATTATTGGGCTCACGGATTAATAATCTCAATTCTATACTTCAATCCTCTCAATCAAACATGCCCTTAGTGTATTAATTAGTGTACTAATACTACTTATGATATTATTATTGATCTCACTCATTATACAAATTACAAATATCAAAATATCTCAAATTATGTCATATCATCAATTAGTACACTAGTTAGTATACTAATTGGTGCATAAAACATTAATCTTTATATTTGGACAAGAATTTAATTATCTCTTTAAGGGAAACAAATAAATAATAAAATTTACTATTTTAATCAATAATTAAATTAAGACACCACCTAAATTTATTCTGAAACAATGAGTAATTTCTCCCATCTCATGGACACAACAACACTTGTTTTATATAACTATTTTGATTGGTAGTTTTGGATGATCAATCCCTCCAGTTATATTCAATTTAAGCTGTTATATTTCCCTCTATTATCCTGATTTGAGAATGCAGGGATGCTTTTTATTCTAGAAGTTTAACTGTTTAATTTAATATTTATTTAATTTTGATCTTTATTACCCCAAAAAAAAGGTTTCGACATTTGAAATTTTATACTATTACTTTCATTGGTCACCTTTAAATTCTAAATTTACATATTTAGGTGGATTAAAAAGATGCTTTTTTTTATCATTCATAAAAAATTGGGTAAATTTTAAATAGATTTACTTAAAATACGAAATGTCTCTTCTAATTTTAAAAATTAAGTTCTTTAGAAATTTTAATTTTATAATAAATAGTCTCGTTTATTAATAAATTATCAAGTTAATTAATAATTTTTAATAATATCATAAATATATTTCAATTAATTAAGCCTCCGTTTGGCAAGGGCTTTTTCAGGCTTTTTTGGCTATTTTAGCCACAAAAAACAAAATAGGCTATTTTAGCCATAACAAACAAAACATCACATCCAACCCATAATCATTACATTCTTCTCTCACAAAAAAGGTCAAAAAAGCCAAAAAGCCAAAAAGCCCTTCCCAAACCAAGTTTTTTAGCCCGGGCTAAAATAGCCAAAAAAGCCAAAAAGCCAAAAAGCCAACCCACTTCCCAAACGGATAGTAATTTTGTTATTGTATAGGAAAACAGTTAGAATTTTTTTTTTAATTAATTTTGTTGAATAAAAAATTCTGATAATAAAATATTTGCAATTTTTCAAATTACAAGAAATAATTCATATTTTAAATAAAGGGGCATTTACATACAAGTTCTAATTTATGAATTTATACTCCATTAAATGCTAACTAAGATTTTTTAAACTTTCAAGTCCCATTAAATTTTTAATAGTCAGAATTGCTCTTCAAACAATGATTGTTCATTATTTATGATTATCTATAAAGGAAAATGATAATTTGACATTTATTTTATTTTTAAAATTTTAAAATATCAACTTTCAAATTGAAAAAATATATATTTTTTGAAAAAATTGAAAAAATTGATTTTTTTTTTTTTTTTTTTGCAAAACTAAAAATTTTGTGAGCATGATGATAGAACATTGATGTGCAAAACTGAAGAAAAAAAAAACTTTAAAGATGAAAAAATTGATAATACTCTCAGTTTTAAAATTGGAAAAAATTGATAATGTTATCGTTTTTATTGGATAGTTGAATCAAACTAATAAGTAGAAGGGTAAAAACGTTTAATCTCATACTTTATTTTTTTTCAACAGTTAGTGGAATAATTATTTGAAACATTACTATGTAAAATTGATAATGTTTTTAATTTTAAAAATTAGAAAAAAATTGATAATATTCACAGTTTTATTAAATAAGACTTATTAGTTCAAAAAATCTTTGATATGACCTGAACTACTATAACATTTGTAAATAAGACACTACAACAAAATACACATTCGGCGACCAAAATTAGCGACTAAAAAAAATTTCGTCGCCAAAAGTTATGAAATTGGTGACCAACTAATTTTTTTAGTCGCCAAAAGTAAAATATTTAGCTACTAAATTTTTTTAGTCGGGGTATATTGATTTTTGGCGACTAAAAAAAAATTTCGTCACTAAAAATGCTAGAATTGGCGACTAAAAAAATTTTTAGTCGCCGTACATTAAGTTTTGGCTACTAAAATCATTTTGTCACCAAAAGAAAATTAAAAAATTAATTTTTTACCTTTGGCGGCCAAAAATTTGGTCGCCAAACGTTTATTTTCAGCGACAAAAAAGAATCTTGGTCGCTATATGTTGACTTTTGGCTACTAAACCATTTAGTCGCCAATTGAAAATTAAAAAAATATTTTTTTACCTTTGGCGACCAAAAGGTCGCCAAAAAAGAATTTTATTGTTATTTGGCGACCAAAAATCTATTTAGTCGCGAAAGGTTGAAATTTTTGTTTGAGAGGGAAACAAATTATTTTTGGCGCCTGATCTATTTAGACTCTGTTCTGTCTCTCACACACACAGACACACGATATCATATACACTTCTGTGTCAAACACTAGCAAACCTCACCCTCACCATCCCTGCTAACAGTTACCATCGAACTTCCACCACCGACATCGCGGCTCTCGCTACCGCCGCTCACCACCACGGCTCTCGCCACCGTAGCTCACCATCGCGGCCTCCCTCCCAGCCACATTCAGGTTTCTCTCTCTCTCTTCCTCTATTTCCCCATTTCACCATCTCGGATCTAGGGTTTTATTAGGTAGATAGCAATTGATTTAAGATACTGAACATCTTCCTCTATTTCCCCATTTCACCATCTCGGATCTAGGGTTTTATTAGGTAGATAGCAATTGATTTAAGATACTGAACAATTTAAAAATATTATTAGTAGGTAAGTTAATGGAAAATTTTAGGACTCAATTCGGTGATGTCCTCTTCGCTTAATAGGATTGAAATTTGCTCTGCATTCTACATATGGGTTTTGACTTTTTTATTATTTTTTGAGTTTTATATTTCAAATCCTACTCAATTTAAGCAAATGGGTTTCAATTTGATTTTTTTTTATTATAAAAAAAATGGTCTTGCTTTGATTTGGTGGAGGTAGTGATTTTTGTGATCCTAATAGCTATTCGTGCTCATGATTGAATGATTTTGAGTTTTTTATGCATATGGGCAGGAACAGAGGCTCGCCACCGTATTTTTCATTGCCGTAATTGTGTTTCTTCACCTCGCCAGTGGAGAGGTCGACTTTGGCGAATCCGGAGACTTTAGGCCACGGCTCGGCGATGGCGAGGTAAGCGAACTGGGATTTGCGGCCGAGATAGTTCCGGTTCACCATTCCTGCCTCTAAATTCACTTGATCAGTCTCACTCATTATGGGTCTGCGAGAAGACTTACCAGTCTTTAAATTGAACCTGATTTCTGATAGAACACTCTTTAGTCCCTCGTCACATTCGTTGAAAATTGAGTCCGGTGGAGTCATACAAGACCCAATCACGACGATCTCATCGGTCTCTGGCTCTTCCCAAGCATTCCAGAGGTGGAAGCAAAAGCAATCTGGTGCTTCGACCCATTTGATCTCAGAAGCATCAGTGGCATTCTTGTTCAAAATCCCAAACCTCGACATCTTGTTTTTGTCGTAAACCACCGGCGAGCCACCGCGGATCATCTCCGGGAGCTTGAAAACTACTTGTTGATCAGGAATCACTACGAATTTCTCGGTGATTGCGAAATCATGCAACATGGTTGGTTCTGAGAGTGGGATTTCAACGTCCGGTGATTTCTCGCCGGAGGGTGAAAATTTGAAGTATTTGAGGTATGGTTTCTGGATCACATCGTAGCTGAGAGCGAAGAGTTGGCCGGAAACTGGGTCGAGTTTGGGATGAGCGATCATGGTGGAATTGAGTTGATTATCGAAATCATACCTACCCACAGTTCTGAGATCGCCGGAGGGGGTGACTCTGACGTGGTACGGCAAATCGTCTTCCGACATGGCGAGTAATCGGTTGTTGAAGTAGACTAGTCCGGCGTTGGCTACGCCAGTGCCGTGGCTGTGATCGACGAGCCCGAATATCCCGCGAGCGTAGAACAGTAATAGCCTGGCGATGCCGGAGTGGCCGTGGAGTTCGCCGATGGCTTTGGGGAAGACGGGCCGGCCCAAGGCCCGTTCCTGAACGAGCCTCTGGGTTTCGGTGAACCGGCAGGAGTAGCTAGCCGCGCCGTCATTGAATTTGACGGCGTGGACCATGCCGTCGCCGTCGAAGAAGTGGTGGCCGGCAACCGGCTCGAATAGCGGGTTCGCTCCGTTCCGGATGTAAACGCCTTGAATGCATTCGGGGATTTTTCCGGCGATGCGGAGGTTGTGCTGGACCGAGTGCTCCGGCACCGGGGCGAAGTTGCCGGAAATTTGGACTCCCGGGTCGGCCGTCTTGGGTAGACGATGCTCTTTTTCGCGTGCCACTAGGATACTCTCCGCTACATCCAACGCCATTGCCGCTGCTTTCTGTAAGAAATTCCATGATTGAGCATTGGCAGAGGTGGAGGACAAGGAAGAGTTATCTTTAGTGGCAATACCAGTGCTGAGTGTGTGATATGTTGGGGGAGCGTGCTTTGGAAGGTGGCGTATGGAAGGGGTGTGGAGAGAGCAAGCAATGTTTTGTTGCCTATTGGGATTGGGCTTGCTTAGAGAGAATGAGGAGGTGGAACAAGAGCCCAATGCACTCGAGGAAGTAGGGATCAATTTGGGCTTAACCCATGTACTTGTAGAAGGTGTTGTTGAAGAAGCCATGGTTGTGTATTCTTGAGTGGTGATAGAGTAGTGAAGAGAATGTAATGGTGAGTTTTGATTGGTTTTAGGGGAGGAATAGGATTGTGAGCTTTTGCTTGTTGTGGATTGGTTGTTTGGCTTTGATTTTGGTATGTTCTTGTTTGGAAGGAATATTGAGGAGAGAAAGAGAGAGAGCGAGGAATAGGAATGAGAATGAGGTGTTTTGAGTGTTGGAGGGAGGGAGGGAGGTAGATAAGGAGAGTTGAGAGAGGGAGGTATATATAGAGAGACAGAGAGAGCGGAGAGAAGGGGGGATGGAGGCCCACCTCAAAGATGTAAGGAGAAGACCACGTGTTGGATACTGGGAATGGGTACTCCAAGCATTGCCAATAGAGTAACGTTGGAGCTCCAAATAATTAATTTATCCAATGTTTTACGAAACTTCTTATATAGGCGTGATACTTATATGTATGTGAATTTGTATGGATTTTACATTTATGTAAAAAATTTGGTAAGATATTTAATAGATTATTTGAAACTTCTAGCATTTTTCTTGCCAAAAACAAACAATGTGGAGGAAAGGACACTGCTGCTTCCAACTCTGACAGAAAATTATTAAAGAGGTATTTTAAGAAGGTAGTTAAAAGTATTTTTTAGTTTTTAATTTATTTTGAATCATATTATTTTTTATATTTTGTATATATATATATATTTTTAAAAGTTAAAAAAATTCAAAAAGTTAGGCTATGTTTGGTTGTGAATTGAAAATGTAATTCTACAGGTGTGTTTCAGTATGATGTTTGGTTGAGTGTTTGGAATCAATTTTCAAAATTTCTGCCGAGAGCTCTGTGCATCAGCAGCGTTTTTTGTGATTTTAATGCCTCAGGGAAGACCGCCCGGATGTCCATGGGGTCTTCCGCCCGGACGTCCCTAGGGACATCCGCCCGGATGTCCTCTGTTGTATAGATTTTTTTTTTTTTTTTTTTTTTTTTTCAGATTTACATACTCGGGAAAAATATTTTCTGAATTTTTTAAAATTTTTTATGTGTTTTAAAATAATTTTGAGTTGTATGTTTAGTTATGAGTTGTAAATTTTTATATCACATATTAAATGTCACATCAACAATTCCCCACTCAAATCAAACCTCTTTTCCAAAACTATTTTCAAAACTCTTTACCAAACAAATTTTCTACACTCAAATCATAATTATACAACACACAAACTCAAAATACAACTTATACTCTCAAATCACATTTACAAAACACAACCAAACGCAGGCTTAACTTTTTATTATTTTTTCAAAACAATCCTCAGTACCCGAGCACCATGTCTATATTCTTTTATCAATTAATATTTATTATATTTTTTATATTTCATAATTATTTAATATAAAATTATAATGTATATTTTTTTACCAATATAATATCATGAAATAATATGTGATCGTATTTTTGAAATATCTAATAATCACTCAATTTTGACACACCCATCCTTTCTCTCTCTCACTCACTACAAGAAAAGTGGGTATATGAGACGGGACTATTTGCGACGGCACACATGCCATCTCAAAAAGTCACTTTTTGCGACGGCAGAAAATGCCGTCTCAAAAAAACAGAGTATTTGCGACGGCACCATTTGCCGTCTCAAAAAAGCATAGCATTTGCGACTGCACAATTTGCCGTCTCAAAAAATGAGAGCATTTGCGACGGTATTTTCTGCCGTCGCAAATACTCTGTTTTTTTGAGACGGCAAATTGTGCCGTCGCAAATGCTCTGCTTTTTTGAGACGGCAAGTGGTGCCGTCGCAAATACTCTGCTTTTTTGAGACAGCATTTTTTGCCGTCGCAAAAAATAACTTTCGTGTTTTTTTTTTAATTTTTAGTGAATATTTTTAAATTTTTAAATATTTTTTTTAGATGCACCTTACTTAGATGTATCTAAAAAAAAAGTATGGAAAAATATTTTTAAAAATTAATAAATACATAAAAATACAAAAAAAAATGTATTGAATTATTGTATTTTTGGTATTTAGTGAATTTTTAAAAGATTTTTTTCACAATTTTTTTAATTTTTAGGTGTATTTATGTTAGGTGTGTCTAAAAATTAAAAAAAATACTTAAAATATTTAAAAAATTTAGTAAAAACAATATAACACAGAAAACAAGAAAGTATAATTTTCTTAAAAGAGTTTTTGGAAAACTCTAACCTAGCATAGTGATTGTGGTTTTGAGACAGCTTCATATATATACAGTCACAAAATGGTTTGAATAAATTCTAGTACTTTTTTCTGTCGCAAAAAAAAAAAAACAAAAAAAAACAATGTCTTCTTACTCTTTTGACGTAACATTTCTCTTTTCATTCATTTTTTCATCTTCATGTCTCTCTGTCTTTATCTCTCTCTCTTATCTTTATCTCTTTCACTCATCACTCTTCTTTCTCTGTCTGTCTGTTTCTCTCTCTCATTTTCTCTCTGTCTCTCGCCTATCTCTCTTCTCTCTATCTCTCTCATCTGTTTTCTCTCTCTGTCTCTTTCATCTGTATGTCATGTAATCATATATCAGCGAATAAGCATTCTCCCTCACATTCTTGTCAGAATAACTTTTTTTCTTCTCTTCTTTTTTCATTTTTAAATTTTAACATTTTGACAAATAGACTGCCTAATACTATATATCAAATGACAGTAGTAAGAGATGTAATTAGAAGGCTGTGATTGGGGGGCTTTGCCTAAAGTTCTGTTATTTTGACAAGTTCTGTTTCTCTGAGACATCTTCTTTCATTGTGGGTTGATGCAATTTTGCATAATTTCTATTACATCATTTGTATGATGCTTCAGCTGAATTATTATGTTTGCCTTTTTATCAGTGAATTAAGGTATGAACTCTTCATCAACTCAATTTGCCACTTCAGGAATGATGGGTTTATATGAGAGACAAATTTTTTAGAAGTGGGCGCACCAATAAATTTTGTAAAATCTAGTCAATTCCTGTATATTTTTGTGTTCATTCATGTATTTGGTTTCTAGATTCGTAGTAAAACTCTTTCCGGATAAACCACAAACCTAGAAAAAGTGTCCACAAAAATAAAATGTAAGATGTAGATTAATGAATCTTTGGTCTACATATTTTATTTTCTACAATTGAAAAAATGTCTAGCATTACTCTACATTTTCACACCCACCAACCACTTCATGGTTTTTTATTATAATTCCCCACTCCTAAGGTTTGGAAACCAAATCAAGTAACCATCACAATCTTATAACAAATTATTGGTTAATTTACAAGTAATGAAGCTCAAGGAACAGCTTTCTGAGGCAGAGAAGGAGATACAGAGGCTACTGAAGAGATGCGATGGTGTTTCAAGCAACAGCCCGGCTTCATTGTTCTCCATGGAAGCCATGGATTCACCTCCTTTTCTAGGGGAGTTTGGGATGGAAGGGTTTGGAAATATTTTTTATGTGCTAGAAAACAATTACAATCATGGCATGAATTGGGTTAATCTTATATGATATGTAATTAAAGCAATTCTAGTATTAATGTAGCTAGTGACCATCTTATGTACATCTTTTTTCTTCCTTTTTTTTTTTCTTTTTTTTTTTTTGTCCTTGGCTTTGTTTTTATGTTGTAGTGTTTCAGTGGTACTTTAAATTTGACTAGAAGATAGAATTGTTACTATAACTTGTTTTTTTAATTATGGATGAATTTTTATGTATATATTGGACTTTTTATATTATTATATAATTATTGATTTTTTTTTATATTTATTTTTCATTTAATACAGGTCATTTCATATTTTTAATAATTTTATTACACGTTTTTTTTTTGTTTTTTTTTTAAATTTTTTTTGAGACGGCAGAACAACCCGTTTCAAAAAGAAAATTGAAACAGGCTTTTTTGCGACGGCACTTATACTGTCGCAAAAGGTAGGGAATATAATTGAAAAATAAGACCTTTAGCGACGGTATCATAGCCGTCGACAATAGTCATTAGCGATGGCTTAGGTTGCTGTCTCAAATAGACTTTTAGCGACGGTATTTTTGTCGTCGCAAAAAACCCTTTTAGCGACGGCAATACTGTGCCGTCGCAAAAAACTCAGATTTTCATCCATTATTGGCAACAGAAATTTGCCGTCGCAAAAGCGGAATTTTCCCGTCGCAAAAGCAAAGGCGACGACACTTGCCGTCGCTAAAACCCTTTTGCAACCCCTTTTGTTGCGACCCCCATTTGCCGTCGCAAAAAGCCATTTTACCGTCGCAAAAACCTTTTGAGACGGCATTTGGGATATTTGCGACGGCGTTTTGCCGTCGCAAAAAATAATTTTTTTTGTAGTGACTCCAAAATTTTATAAACAAGGTAGAGTATAATTTTATAAACAAGGTACAAATACTCTGTATTTAAAAATTTTATTTTAAATTATAATAGATGATTTAAATTTAAATTTGATATAATATGATTCATATATTTTTTTAATTCTAAATATTTTTTTGTATAAAAATTCTAAGTAAATGGACACAAAATAAAATTTTCCCAAAATTCTTCTCTCTTTTGAAATATTCACAATTATTGATATGTTAACATTACTTAATAATTGTAAAGTATTGTGAGTCGGGTTGCAAATGAGTTGAGCCAAACTTTAGTATGTTTGGACTTTTTTATTAAGATTTTAACGAATTCGAGCTAAAACTTAATAAAAATTTAATGAGCCGAGTTTGAGCCAAGTTGGCCTGACTCAAGTTCGAGCCTGTTTACGTGGCTTAGCGAATTAAAAAAATTATAAATTCATACTTGCGTATGAGACTAAAATTACAACTGAAACTTTGATTATTATATATACAATATATATATAAACATACTAAAATAAAAATCAATATCTTACAAAAATAATAATATCTACCACTACTATTATATAAACGCATTATCTATGGTTAACTATTATTTATATATAAATAATATATTTATCTTATTTTTTATACATATTTTATATTATTTAATACATAAATAATTTATTTATTCTATTATTTAAATAAATATTAAACGAATCAAATAACAAATCAAACTAACGAATCGAGTTTTAGTATGTTTGAACTTGTTTATTAGATTTTTATGAGTTCGAACTTGAGTTCATACGCAATAAAAATTTAATGAACCGAGTTCGAATGAATCATTACACAGCCATGCTCGAGCCTATTCACGAACGATTCTGTTCATTTGCAACCCTAATTGTCAGATCAGTTGTACTATACATATATATATATATATATATTTT